TGCGACGTATTTCAGCATTAACTGCAGCGGCAAAGTAACAACCAAAGGTGGTTAACGAGTCACCCGATTTTCACTTGACTGAAGTAGTGCAGTTCTTTGTTACATAATTTATTACTTGCTGGCGCATTCTGGCGCCTATAAGTACTTGCAGTGCTTTCTTGTTCGCATCCCAGTCAGAATTTGCTACAATTTCCGCACATTTCTATTTTCAGGTGGACAGTGCATGAGCTGCAAATACTTCAGGAAGGCTGTCTTGACAAGGAGGTCAAGAGTACAACGAACACCTTCCAGGGCTTCCAAAAGTGTTGCCCAAAGGCTGAGGTTCCTTGCACGTAAAAACAAGCGCTTCGCTTCACGGATTTCCACAATGAGGGGAGATGTTGAAAAGATGCGGGCATCCAATGCAGCAGTAGCCGAAGAGACTCTTAGTGAGCAGATTTCGAAGCTTCCCCAGAAGCAACAAGAATGTGTCAGATGCTTTGCCGCAGCAGCAGCAAAAAAGAAAGGTTTCCGCTATAGCAAGCTGTGGATTCTGGAATGCATCATAATGAAAATGAAGAGTTCCCGCCTTTATGACCACATCAGGGACAATGAGATACTCTCCCTTCCGAGCAAATCAACACTGAACGTCGTGCGTGGTTAAAGTCGTGCGTGGTTGTCATGGTGGTTAAAGTTTGGGTTTAGGGCGCGCATTTCTGCAGCAGGCACGTAATCAAGAAAAACCCGGCGTGGAGGCTGTCTAAGGCGTTGTACTGTTGAACCCAAGGACGTGTGTTCGATCGTAGCCGCGGTGGCTGTTCTCCTGACGCAGGAGAAAAACGAAACAAGCCGTGTGTCGGCATTTCGGCTGACGTTGAAAATTCTAAAGGGATCTAAATTAACCTGCAGCCCTCCGCTATGGCGCACCTCATAGCGGAAGTGTGGCTTTGGCCCGTTAAACTCCAAAATTTTAATTCTGACATTGCGAAAAAAAAAAGTGCGTAGTGATTTTCGCACCTCGGAACCGCAGTCGACATGACCGCTGCATTAGCGAAATCACTTTGAACATTTAAACGGCAGGAAAATGATACGATGTCAGTTGCTTCACGCCCTGCGCACTAATAAGATGCCCAAAAGAAGTGTCGTGCATTGAATGTCGCGAACGTTGCATAATTTCTGGCATTTCAACAATTGCGCTGTGGCTCTCTACTTTGGCGCGCAAAGGAGTTTCTGGATGGATGGATGGATGGATGCTATGAGCGTCCCCTTTATAACGGGGTGGTGACAAGTATGCCACCAGGCTCGACAAAAAAAAAAAACCTTTTTTTTTCTTTTTATGTTGGCCTAATGCCTCTACTTCGATAAATTCTATCTTAATAGAAAAAAAGGTAAATTTTCAGCTTAAGTTCTCTGCCATTTACGGCACACTGTCCATACTTTATTTTTCCAATATTTATTTTTGTCCTTTCTCTCTAATTTTCTGCCACCAATACTCTAACCGTCTCTTACTTATTTCAATCGCGGGTGTGTTCAGCTTTCCATTGTTGTCCCTAAAACCCAAGGCTTCCTGTAGGCTCGTGCCCAAACGTACACCTGGGTGGATATCTCCACATTCAATCAGAACATGCTCCGCCGTTTCCTTATCTTTCCCGCAGCATGTGCATTGTTCTTCTTCTTTACTGAATCTTGCTTTATAACTACGCGTTCTAAGGCAACCCGATCTCGCTTCAAACAGTAAAGCGCTTCCCCTTGAATTATTGTAAAATGCCTCCCTCCTTATTTCATTTTTGCCCTTTCGGTAGTTACTCAAAGCCGGTTTTTTCTCCATAGCTGCCATCCAGTAAATCCTCTCCGCCTCCCTGACTTTTCCCTTAACGCTCTTTGTTGACATACGGCTTACAATACCAGCCGTATACTTACTAGTGAGTCTTCTAGTTCTTTTTCTCCACTGTGTGTCCACGCTCTTCCTATACAAATAACGGAACACCTTCTCTGCCCATCTACTCTCCTTCATATTTCTTAGCCTTTCTTCGAACCTTATCTTGCTCTGCGCTTCCCTCGCCTCAAAACCTGCCCACCCCATATCGCCCTTTACAGCCTCGTTTGTCGTCTTCCCGTGAGCACCCAACGCGAGGCGTCCCACAGTCCTTTGATTTACATCCATTCCCGATTGCACCTCTGCCCTCATGCACACCACTGAGTTCCCAAAAGTAAGCCCTGGAACCATTACACCCTTCCACAGACCTCGAAGCACCTCATACCTATTGTATCCCCACAACGCTCTGTGCTTCATTATTGCCGCATTCCTCTTTCCTTTTGCTGCCGAGGCTTTTTCCTGTACCTCCATGTATCTATCACTCTCATTTACCCATACTCCAAGGTACTTGTATTCACTTACCCTCGGTATTTCTTGGCCTTGTATGGACACCGTCTGATCACAGGGATCATTGAATACCATCAATCCACACTTCGTTACACTGAATCCTAGTCCAAGAGCTTCACCTTCCCTTCCGCATATATTCGCCAGCTGCTGTATATCATCTCGGCTGTCCGCAAATAAGACGATATCGTCCGCATAAAATAAACCTGGAAGCTTCTGCTCAATCATCATGCCGCCCTGTTTGTGTGACAGATTAAAACCAATGTTGCTACCTTCTAGCGCTTTTTCCATACTCACCATGTACAGCATGAATAACAGCGGGGACAAAGGACATCCCTGTCTCAGACCCCTGCTAACCTCAACGTTCTCTTTGCTACGCATTCCTTCCCACTCTATGCAAACTGTATTTTCTCGGTATATCTCCCTCAAAAGCTGTATACAGTCGTCGCCCATGCCCATTCCTTTCAATATATCCCACAAAATTTCCTGATTAACGTTGTCGTATGCCCCCGTGATGTCTAGAAAAGCCACGTACAAGGGCCTATTCTCTATTTTGGATATTTCTATACACTGAGTGAGAACAAACAGGTTATCGTCTAACCGCCTGTCGACTCGAAATCCGTTCTGAAGTTCTCCCAAAATATCGTTATGTTCGGCCCATGTTTCTATTTTCATTTTTACTGCTTGCATCGCCATCCTGTATAGTACCGATGTAATTGTTAGTGGTCTATACGAGCGAATCTTGTCCTTTTCTCCCTTGCCTTTATAGATTAAGTTCATTCTACTTTGTCGCCAACTGTCCGGTATTTGTCCGTCCTTTAAGCTTTTTTCTACTGCTTTTAACAATGCTTCTTTAGTGTTATGTCCTAGTTCGTTAATGAGGCTAACGGGAATCCCATCTAAACCCGCGGCAGTGCGCTTTGGAATTTTTCCTTCGGCCTTTTTCCAGTTGAAATTATCAAGTACTAGCTCTTCCTCTGTTGCTTTCTCCGCCACACTTTTACTCACCGGGGAGATCCCCTGGACGCTCTTTTGAAACGAATCGGCTGTTACCTTTTGGATGTAACCTAGCGCTTCGTACCCTTCCAATTGATTTCCTCCTTCATCTAGAATATGTTGTTGCGTTGTGACAGACTTCCTACCTAGCGCCTTTATGTGGCTCCAAAAAATCCTAGGCGCGGCCTCCTTTTTTTCGTGTATCTCTGTCATCCAGCGTTCACTTTCACCTTTAATTTTTGCCTCTACCAATTTCTGTACAAGGGATTTTTTCTCTAAATATATTTCCCATATTTTTTTGACTTCGTCCTGCGGCCGCTTCTCCTTTTTTGCCTTTCTATGCTCCCGTGATGCTTCGCGTCGCTTCTCGATCGCCTCCCGGATTTCCTTGTTCCACCAACTTTTTGGCTTCCTTTTTCCTTCCCAGCAAACAGTTTTCTTCTCTTTCCCTATCTCCTTCGTCATTAGATGTAACAGCTCACTATACTCCCAGTCCTTGCCTGGTATTTCGCCTACTTCTTCCTCGACTCTTGCGGCTATATTTATTATTTGTTTGTCATTTAAATACGAGCTGCCAGACTTTGATTCCATGCTCATATTTTCAGTTTCGTATCCCATTTGTAATGTTATTCGTTTATGATCACTACCCAAGCTGTTAATGCCTTCCTCGTCTATCCTCATTTCTGTCAGTTTGTGGTAAATTTCTTCAGTCATGAGACAATAATCAATACTTGATTGCTTGTTTCCGACTTCCCATGTGATCTGGCCGTCACATTTAGGCCCCGTGTTAACTATCTCCAGACTATGTTGCTCGCAAAGATCTAGTAATAACTTCCCATTGGTGTCTGAATATCCGTCAAGGTCATGTATGTGGGCATTCATGTCCCCTAGAAGGATGATTTCGGCCCCATTACCAAATTCCTTAATATCCGCACTCATGCAATCCACTATCTCCTGATTCTTTTCTCTGCAGTTATTCCCCGTCCACAAGTAGGCTACCCCTAGCCACGTTTCCTTTCCACCTACTGTGCCCCGAACCCAGAGGTGCTCTGAACACGTCTGTTTCACTCTAACCCATTTGGCTCCGCGGTGAATTAGCATTCCTACACCCCCACCTTTCCTTTCCGATATGGTCCTGTTACACCCTTCCCAAACATAATTTTTAATATGTGGTGGCTCTTCCAAGTCTCTAAGGTGTGTTTCTGTAACCGCATACACGCCTATCTGTTCTTTGTTTAACTGCTCCTCAATCTCTAACCATTTTGCCTTCTTTCTGCCACCCTGCATGTTTATGTAACTAATTGCAACACGCGCCTTTTTCCTTTTTCTTTTACCTTTTTTTCTGGTTTTTCGCAATTCTACCTGTCAAAGCGTCCTCCTGGTTGCTTTCCCTGTTACGAGCTACCCCGGACTCCGAAGGGCCCGTGAGCCCCCCAAAAAAGCTACTGCGCGTCCTGCCAGTCGCCAGCCCACCTCGTGTCCAAGCCTCTTATCGAAATGAATCCTGTCTCTTTGGAATCCACCCCACCTGTGCACTTCCCTGTTTAAATCCACTACCTCGAAACCCTTCTCTGGTGACGCTGCGAACCGCGCCGCCTCTCGGCGTCGACACGAAGTGAGTCACCCACCGCCGCCTGTGAGCACACTGCCCCTATTCTAGTACACTGTAGCTCCATGCTCGGCAGCTCGGCACTTTGTCTGGTCGTTAAATTTTGGAGATTTCATCCTGGTTTCATCTAGCCACTGTCGTAGTTGGGCTAGACTTCTAGTACATTCTAGCTGAGCTGAAAAAAAAAAACGCATTGTGGCCAGGCCAGGTGCCGCGGATCGTGTGCGAGTTTCGGAAAGGTGCGGGCGTCACGGTGAATAACGGCGAGAAGCCAGCACATTGGTGTAGTGCCTTTTGCGAAAGCAAAGGCAGCGATCGCTTGTGGCCCCGACATGATGGGCCACCGGGCGATGTCGTCGACTGCCGACGCTACACATACTCCGACGAGGTGAGTTAACAAGGCTCGTGTCGTGGTTTTTCCTCTTTTAGCTGGGCCCGCTAGGCCTACCCCGGCCGAGTGCGGCGGGCATATCCAGTTACGTTTTGAACTGGCTCCAGGGCCCTCCGCTTGATGAAACAATTCGCCTTCACAGCTGTCGTACTACGGCGCAGTATTTGTGGTCGTTCGCGCTTGACTAAGTTTTTCGCCAAACCCAACTGGCGTGCCGGCCGGCCTTGCTCAATTATATATCCAGGGCCTGTTGATTTTCCGCCCGGCGCGTCTACACAGCCGATATCACAGCAGCCTTCGAGAAGTTGGCGCTAAATGGCGACGCTTCCTGGTCTGTTTTTAACCTTGAACCGTTACTTGCGATTTCGCCAGGGTAGCGCTTGATGTGTTGTGCGGTTGCCTTGCGTCGTTATACAAAGTAGGCTGCATATCTTTGGCTTTCCGAATAAAGCTTTTGACGTTTGTGTTTCGTTCACTTCGATCATTCCCGGCCAAGTTGATGCAAATGATCCAAATCTGAACGCTTCAGTTATGCGCTGTTCTGTTTACAATTCAAGTGCTCAAACGCTCGAGCGTCATGCCTTAACGGTGCATTGAACTGTTTATTAATTTTGTGTCACATCACGCGCTATTAACGCTTAATTTGTTTTCAGAGTTTGAAAGCGTGGCAAGGTTCTGTTTGGTGTTGCTTAAGTCGTTTGCCAGACTTAGGGGTATTTGCCCCTGCAGTTCCGGCTTTCGCGTATGGTTTCTGTGTAATCCGTTGTGTCTGCGTGGTCTGGCAGTGTTGCCAAATTTCGGAGAGAAAAAATAGCAAGGTTGCAGCGAAGCAGTAGCTAGAAATAGGTAAAAAATACACGAAGAAGCTAAAATTGCTAAATTATAAAAAAACTTAAAAGACATTCTATGCGTGCAACAAGTGTACTGGTTTTAGAGTTTAAACAGAGCTATCAAGTAATGTTTTCTAGCACTTAACTATGCAGAACATGTGTGAACAAAGGGAAAAGTGTTCCTCTTTTGATTCCAATTATTTAGGGTGGGCATGCTTTTAGCAAAGCATCAAAGTTTGCAGGCCCCTCAAAGAAGACCTGGGAATGTATGTATGAGAACTCTGTAAACATCACGGGTGGGCAAACATTTGACAATTTTATATAAAGAATCGAGCAGCGCATAATAGAACAACCAAATATTTTTTTCTAATAATTTTTCAATAACCAGCATTGAAGAGGAGACCACAGTGGAACAATGCGCTTGAAGAGCAACGGCCACCTTTGTTGTTTTAATTTGTGAATTGTCAAGGTGCCTGTAGTCCAACGTGTACACAAGATGCATGCAGGTTAGGGGACGCCAAGGTCAAGCTGTTATGGGAGTAAGCTCTGCTCATCAACCGGTGAAGGATTTTTAGCTTTAAACTCCTGTGTCACTGAAACGAATGTGTCTTCAATTTTTTATCATTTGCCTCAGATTGCTATAATTTATTCAGGATATAATGTTTGCCTTTCACGTCCTAGCTGTCGAGGAAGCTTAAAGTGGGCTGTTGGTTTAATATATATGTACAAGTATTTTTGGCTCAGCCCTAATAATTCAGAAAATGTCAATACAGTACAGCTAGAGTTAGCTAATAGCTAGATTAGGAGCTGAATTTTGGATAAAAATGCTAGAAGAGCTACTCGTAGCTAAATAAAATTTTTGGTAGTTAGCTGAGTCCAAAAGCAGTTAGATCTTGCTATGAAATAGCTAAATTGGCAACACTTGTGAACACTGTCGTTTTATGTAGTGGCCTGTGTGTCTTACAGAAGTGTGAGCCCCCTTGTTTCACTCCATGATCCATTTAAGAACTAACAGATTGCACTCGATTGTGCCTCGTAAGCAGGGAATTTGCGAGTTCAAACTCGAAGTAGGGAACCCACGCGCAACAACGAATTTAACGAGGGAACTGAATGGCGTCGCAAAACTCTGAACACAGCGTGGGCAGCATACATTGTTGTTGCAGAATTATGAATACCTTCTCTGCTGTGCATAGCTGTGCGGTGGCCCAGGCGACTCATGCTCATCATATGTTGCTGGCGCCCTACTGACACGGGCACACCAGGACGCTCAAAAATTTTGAGAATCCTAGAGCAGCACGTAGGCTACTGGCACCCGAGCGACACAGGCACACCACATACACTTAAAAAAAAAAGTGCCCCCACCTCTAGAAGGGAATCGTGAGAAAATCTCGCACTGAAAGGGGGATACCGTTGCCGTCAGACATTCGCCTTCACCAACTTCTGCCATTGCCATGAGAGGTGCTCAGCCAGCGAATGGTCGAGAGTGAGGAGCAAGCGTCGGGAGAGTAGGATGCCAGCGGTGTTGGCTTGGCGTTGGTGTTTCACAGTGGCGTCCCGAGCACACATTTCCGGATGTTTTTGAGAGGCGTCCAGCCAGTGAATGGTTGAGAGTGAGGCACGAGCGGACGGGAGAGTGGTGCGCAGCGAGGAGAGAGAGCGTACGGCGAGAGGAGCACTCTGACGCCACGGAAAACGCCAGATGTCTGACATAGCCCGACCAATAAATGCATTCGCAATTAAAACAGCGAGCGCCGATGGGAAAACAAAAAAGGGAGCTTAAACTGCATGAGAAAATATAGCTGCCAGATTTAGTGGCGGTCTGGAAACGATGGGTATTCAAGTCTGGCAACGACTTATGCAACGCCAAACAGAACGTTGCTATGGGATACTGCTACCTGGGGTGCCACACTGTATGGAATACTGAGAATGCACAAAAAAGGTGCACAGCAAACAAAAACCAGACATGTTAAGTCTGGTCTGTTGCGCTTCTTGTAGCCAGAGTACGTTGTCACAGGATAGGCTTCATGAACGACTGCACACTGTTTCGCACTGGATCCTATTAAAACGCCTAATCATGAAAAGGCCGTACGTCAAAGCGGCGAGAAATTCAATCTCTTAGAAGAATGAAATGCCGTAAAGTCATGTAACTTGATTTGTGGCTGCGCTAAAAACACCGACAAGAGATTAGACGTACACAGAACGACCATGAATCAAGTTACAATTTTCACCAACTGCCCCAAGCAAAAGCGTTACTGTACCAAACAATCAAAATGACGAAAAGACATAAGGCCGAAAACCACTTGAGCCATGCCGAAAACTGCCCCGCCGCGGTGGTCTAGTGGCTAAGGTACTCGGCTGTTGACCCGCAGGGCGCGGGTTTGAATCTCGGCTGCGGCGGCTGCATTTTCGATGGAGGAGGAAATGTTGTAGGCCCGTGTGCTCAGATTTGGGTGCACGTTAAAGAACCCCAGGTGGTCTAAATTTCCGGAGCCCTCCACTACGGCGTCTCTCATGATCATATAGTGGTTTTGGGACGTTAAAGCCCACATATCAATCAAACCATGCTGAAAACCGAGTGAAAGTTCATTGATTCGGAGGGAAATGGACGAAGGCGCAGCGGGGTGTGCTCCCAAAAGGAAAAAGCTAAACTAATCTGCAGAGACGGTTATGTTTTTGTGTTGAACGGAAAAAAAAAAAAACGAGTTTTAGATGCTATTGGAAGCGCAACAAATTAGAATGCAATGCCAGAGTGATCACTAGAGACCGGATTGTAGGCAAATTTCTATGTTGCTCTTTGCGTTCCTATCCATTTTGATATTTGAGCATGAATTAGAGGTTAATAAGGGCTTTTGGGTGTTCTTATAGTGTCTACAATTGCTTGTTTTTGGTGTTTATGCCTAAATGCCTATGAATGCCCATTTTCTAAATGAGCGTCTCTATGAGCGCTATTAAAGTCTAAATTGTGTTTTTGAGCGTGGTGTGAAACTGTTATTTATGTAAAAAAGGCAACATTGATATTTGCAAACACTGTAATGTTCAACGAAGATAAAGCTGACATGCTGCGAGTGATTGGAGGAGCATGAGTACAGAAAATGCTATTTCTGCAGCCCTAAGTGGAAGCTCGTCTCAGCGTCTGCAGGGGAAAGAGAAGAGAGAATGAAAGAAGGGGTAGGAAAATAAAAGTGACGTCTATGGCCGAGGATGAGGCGACCGCCTTCTACAGACAGCTGTCCAGTGCCCTGAAGGAACTGATGAACCGCGCTGAATACCTGGGTTTTGCGGTAGGAAAGGAACAGCAGGTTTTTCTGGGCTGCTGCGGGTAGCTGGAAAACGAATGAAAAACCATGGACGGTGGAGGGCCACTTTTGGAATGCTCTTGTTGATTCAGTGGTGGCGAAGGTCGCCAAATTGTTATACTTCATACAGCGAAGCCTGAGACAGGCGCCGGCATGTTTACAATCAACGGTGTATTTAGCATACATTGACCAATTGCTTGAATACGCTTGTTCTGTATGAGATCCCTTGTCATATGTCTTAATACATACATGAAAAAATACTGAACAGGGCTTCAAAGTTGTCCTAAGCCTTTACTCAAAAAGACATCTGTAACAATATGGAAAACTAAATAGGGTGGGGATCTCTATCACCATATCGAATTAAGCTGCTATGTGAAGCATTTCATGGTAAAACTCACATTCGAAAATGAATGTACTTAAACAGTTCTCTTTGCACAATGGTAATTAAGATTTTAGAATGTTGTATGAGATATTATTCTTCTATTAATTTGTTTTTCGTTAGTTTGGTGACAAAATGAAATGGTTTATAAAGAGGACAAAGTGTCCTCTTTATAAGGTGAAGGTGTGTTTTCTTTAACATTGTAACCCATCCGCTGCAGCGCCTTAGGGTAAAAAATGTGATGTGCACGCGGCTTTTGTTTTGTTTTCAATTTACTTTTTAAGCGTCCCTCTCTATGTGACATAATAAGTTGTAGTCAGACACTAGAACTTCTTGCATGCCCAATCAAAAGTGTTCTACCATGGGGATTTTTCAAATTGGTTCGCTGCGAGCCTCCAAAGCACGATGCGAAAAGGCAAGCTTGAATCCCTTGCCTCTCGCCCCATGTAGCCATCACGAGCCCAATTCCTTCCCTGTTCTTTTCGGTATTTG